GTGAAGGGAATAGTCCATGCATTCCAAAGCACCTTTTTGCCTTTGAATCCAAACTGCTACATTAAGCCTATTTCACATCATTTTATGCTAGTCTGTGCCAACCCGATGTTCTCTAGCTGAATACATTCATTTAGCACACATTACCAGTCAGTGAAATAATCTCAACATTGACTAGGGTTATTCTTTGTTTGGCTATAGTGTTGTGAAAGATATATTTCTCCTTTTACTGTGCAAATTAAAAAGTTAACTCACTAACAAGTCATGAGGGTTGCATGAAAACAGTTATTGTCTCCAATTACAACTTGAAGTATTATTTTCTGAAATATGGAAAATGAAGTCCAATACAGCTAGAGATATCCAGGTTGCAAAAGGCTATATATCAAAAAAGTTTACCATTCTATAAAACGACTATGTCCTGCCTTTGCTAATGCCCCATGATCAAGTATCCAAGGAACAGAAAGGCTAAACAAAATACAGTTGGTGCAACTATCTTTATTAAATCCCTAATCTGAAAACCTTGACAGCTTTGAGAGGCAGTCTTACTGCTACATTTAGTTTATAAACCAGGTTATAAACCAGGTTGGTGAAAATTAAAATAACTGTAATGCTTGCCTAAAGATCATTTCTTCATCAATATGACTTTCTTATCTGCCCTCCACTCTTGCAATAAGTTAGTGATGGAGCAGAGGCTACAGTATGAAATCTGGTTAGATGTTATGTTCACCCCTCTACCAGAATACCCCAAAATATTCAAATATTTCATATTAGAACTAACTGTCGTCTGAATTCTAAGATGTACCTTAAACATTCTGAAAAAGAAACCCAAAATATTGTATAGAAATATGGTATCAAAAGATATGGAAGAAGAAAAAATATTCAGACTGGAGAGAAAAGTTAGTTTTATAGAGACTTGGACTACAAACACAACAATGCACATAGGATATTTAAATGAAGTGCCTTTCAGTTACATATTCTAGCAGTCCCGGCCTTTGAAAAGCCATCTTAATTTTAGAGGACCTCCCTGTTCTAAATTGTTGGGAAATGAGCATTATGTATTCAACAGCTTTTAGGAGACATAGGATGCTGTGGAGCTTATGGAATAATAAATTCACTCAGTACATGGCTTTTCTCTGGGAATCTTTTGGTATGTTAGCCTTCATTTTCCTGAATTCATAAAATTATAGAAGTTGCAGAATCTAGGCATGACTCTTCCCTTAATGACTAATAATAGAAATAAAGTAATAGTGGTTCAATGTCTATGGAGATTCTCAGTCATTGAGTTCATGGCTGTCCCAAATGTGCTTTTTTTTTCTGAGGAGGAACTGAAGAAGCTTCTCAGATGAGAAGTGAAACATCTTCAAGGAAAAACAAAGTCCAGTTACCTTTTTAAAAAGCACCATTGGTAATAGGGGTTCATATATATACCCTCAGAAAATGTATGTATGTATGTATGTATGTATGTATGTATGTATGTATGTATGTATATATTTTTAAGTTTTCGCAGGTACTTACATGTATGGTATTCAGCTTTGTTCGGGTATTTTCCCACGTCACTGTAGTTGTGCTTTTAAAGTTGTAGCAACATTTCGGCAGAATCTCATCTGCCATCATCAGGCTTCTGTATAGTGTTTGTCTGTGAGTCAGACTTTCACAGCTGCTTCAGTTTTAAATTTGAGGCTAGCCTACTGCTGTGCCAGAATGGTTTTTTCTTCATCCTGATTGGTTGGGAGTCTTGGTCTGTGTTTATTGGTCTTAGAGTTTGCTGTGTTCTGGTTGATTGGTGTTTCTAATATCTTCTGTCTATTTTGTAACTTTTTTTGTCTTGATTGGCTGGCAACATTGCATTCCTGTATTGGAGGCTTTTAGTGCAGCTTGGCTCCCAGTAAATGGATGGCTATCATTTATTAGGAAGCTAGGTTTCATCTGGGTGCCTGGTTGGGGTGTGTTTGAGCTGGAGGTATCAGGGGGGGATCTGTTTGGGCCCAGGTGTTTGCCTGGCTTGTGGTGTGGAGATTTTTTTTGCTTGTGAGTGCAGGCTTCCAAATAATTGACAGTCAGGTGGAATCATCTCTTCTGTTCATGCTTTCAGGTCTTTTTACAATCTCTATGGCTTCTCTGATAATTCTGTAGCTGGAGTTTTCTATAGTGGCTAGGGTTTTGGTGCCACTGAAGTTGATGCTATGACTTGTGGCTTTCATGTGTTGGACTAGTGAGGAAGTGTGTTCCAGCTTTTTTACTGCATTTTTGTGTTCATCCAGGCGGGTACTTATTCTTCTATTGGTCTGTCCAATGTATGTGGCCAGGCATGATGCACAGGGGACTTCGTATATGCCTTGGTTTTCCAGATCAATTTTATCTTTGGGGTTTCTAAGGATGGCTGCTATTTTTCTGTCTGTTTTGAAGGCAGTCTTGATGTGATGCCTGTGTAGTATCTTACTGATTTTGTCTATACACTACACAGGCATCACATCAAGATGTAAAAGTCTGACTCACAGACAAACACAATACAGAAGCCTGATGATGGCAGATGAGATTCTGCCAAAACGTTGCTACAACTTTAAAAGCACAACTATAATGATGTGGGAAAATACCTGAACAAAGCTGAATACCATACATACATACATACCCTGTTTCTCCGACAATACGGCCTCCCCCAATAGGAAGTCCCAGCATGTTTTCTAGGCATGAAATGAAATTAAGCCCCTCCCCCCAAATTAAGGCCTATATTAAAACATGTGAAATGGGGAGGAAATGGCGGGGGGGCTTGCTGTTAGGAAGTACTTTTGTTGCACACCCGGATATGGTGCTGCCTGCGTTGACCCTGATACAAAGTGCCCCACCAACGCCGAGGTCAACATCCAAACCGTCACCACCCACCCTAAGATGCAAGGGGGGGGGGGAATTAAGTCACCCCTGAAAAGACGGCCTAGCTGTTTTTGTGGGGCTCAAAGAAAAAAATAAGACCCAGCCTTATTATATAAGAAACACGGTATATACATACATACATACATGCACACACATACACACATTTCTGTTTAAGAACTATTAAAGGTACTGCTAACACCTTGTTCCACTAGCTTGAAATGCTTCAAAATGTTCCCATCAACAGTAAATTCCAAAATTTAATGTTCTGGAAACAAGAGCAACTATGTTAGTTTCATGCTGGTACTGGAATTTCCTCTCACTGATTGCAATAGGAGGGAATATTTTAACAAAGAAAAAAAATCACGGGGAAAATATCCTGGATCTCAATAAAGCAATTACTAAATCTGCAAGACAGTCTCTTTGTACCTACATAGGATGGCTCTTTTCCTGATGAGAAACTATCTGCCTTTGTTTCAAGACTATGCAGACTTGATCTTAATATGGCTTATAGCTAACATGCCACCTATACTTCATTTTATGTTTAATACACAATTCATAACATTCAATATACAGGACTGAAAGACGAAAGCCCTGAATTAAAGATGCAAATACTGTGGCATCATCAGCCTAGTCTACTTCTTCAAGTATTTATAATTTATTTATAATGAATGAAAAGGAACATCTAAATAATAGGGTGATTTTATTTACTAATAAGGAGCTCAATAATGATAATATTTAGGCAATAGGAATGGCTGGGTTGGCTTTTAAAAAAGCAAGAAAGAGTAACCTAAACAGATCCATACTAGATCAGGTAAGAGCGATCTATTTGGTTCATATTCATTCCCAAAGTGATGACTATGTCTTGCAAGCAAAAAAAAAAAAAAGATATTACCCTATAGTTCATGTTTCTCAAAAAAAAAAAGACTTAAAAGGTATGCTATCTGTTATGTTAGAAATTAAGTCACCATAACAAGGAAGCATTGATCGCTTTATCTTCCGTAGACTCCTCCTTTTTAAAACCCATTTAAGTTTGCAGATCTCACTGAATTTAACCACAGGCTCTTTTTCTTTTGTCACTCATTACTTTCCGACCATTTAACTTGTCTGGATGACCCAAGGTTTTAGTGTAAGTGAAGAACATATGCTTCTACATAACGGATAGCTTTGTATCACTCCTCAAACTAAACCAAGCCTCGACTTATGGGTTTTGTTTTTTGGCGTGTATGGTGTCGTTTCTGTCTTTCAGTCATTTTTGTGACTTCGATCATTTTTTTTCCAGTTCTACACAGTAGTGACCTGAACAATGCGCGATATTTCTGATATTGGCAGTTTTACTTTTCCCTTCCCGAAATTGGCCAACACTGCATTTGCCTGTCTCGTGGACATTCCTGAACTGTAAGCAGAGATTTCTATCCACTCCAATCGTATCTTTTAGTCCAAACCACTTCTGCTTCATCGCCAAGCGGAACGGCCTACAGGAGCGACCACTGCACAGTCCTTGACCCTTTCTTCTTTTTCTTTTTTTGCACGGAATCCAAAATCCACTTTTTGCACTGAGTAGACAACTTCACTTTCTCTTGTGCGGGACATCGCTCCTCGGGAAGTAGAGCAAACGAGCCCCGCCCTCGGACGCCTCCGCCTCCTCCTCCCGCGGCGCTTCCAAAGTCACCCAGTTGCTTCGGGACCCCGCCCACACATTCCCTCTGGGAGCGCTCGCTGGCTTCCTCGGCCGCCCATTGGAGCGCGACCACGTCACTCCGCGGACGTAATAACAGGGAAAGGTGGGGGAAGAAGAGAGGCAGGAGAGGCGCAGAGGAGACGGTGGCAGCAGCGGCAGGAGGGGAGGAAGGGGACGGACTGGGCCGGGCCGAGCTCAGCGCTCGTCCCAGAAGGGGAAAAGAGAAAAATCGAGGCGGCTACTTACCTGCCTGGCCGCGCCCTTCGCCGCCGCTGCTGCTGGGCGAGGACTGCAGAACAAGCCCCTCTACCGTGGCAAACGGTCCCGCCCGCCCGCCCGCAACGGCCCCCAGACCCCGAACCAGCGCTCGCCCAGCTGCCTTCCCTCTCTCCCACCGCCCCGCCTGAACTCCGCAGCCATTTTCGTCGCCACCTTGGCTACCGAAGGGCTGACTCACCTCGGCGCTGCGGGGCCCTGGCTCGTCGTCCGGGGGCAACCCAGCTCTTCTGGCGGCCCCCCGCTCTGCCACCCCCGTCGTCTTCTGCCTCCTCCTCCTCCTCCTGCGGCGCCAGCCCGGCCAGTCCAGCCTGGCTCGCTAGTCCCAGGCGAGGACGGGTCCCGGGTCCGGGCCGGGCGCGGTGGCAGAGGAGGAGGCGGCAGCTGCGGCGGCGGCTCCCTCCCTCCCGGCCGTGACCACCATCTTATTAGCACAGGAAATGACATGGCGAACGGAAGAGAGGGGCGTTCGGGGGCTGAGCCCGGGGACCCCCCGAACCCGGAGGAGGAGGGGAAGCAGCGGGGCTGGCGGGCGGGCGGCTTCCAGGCCCAGACTCGGCGGCGAGGCAGTCTATCCCCCCCTCCCCAAATGCTGCGACTCGCCCGTCTCCGTTTTTCCACTGGCTCATTCACCAGGAAGCCCCACGCCCCCGCTTTTCTCCCCGCCATTCTCGGGTTTCTCCCGCGGCGGCAGAGAAAGCATCCGACCCAGAAATAGCGCAGCGTCCGCGTCAAAATGCAAACGCACCGGCAGCCTGTCCCCAGATTTTTTTTTTAAAAAAGAAATCCAATATTCTGGTTTTTCTGCCTCTCTTCCACAAACTTATGCATTGGTGACCGCTGGGCACGTCTAGGCTTTCTTGGCGAGAGGTGCGCCTCTCCCGTGCGCCTTTGCTTGGAAGCAAATCTTAAGGGCGCTCGCTTTTCAGGAAGACGATCCTGGTTTGTTTTCGGCCTTTACCTGCCGACTTTGGGAATCGGGAGTTCTGATTTATTTTCTCCCTCCCGTTTTGATTTGGATCTTGCGCTGGGGTTCACGGCCCGAAGGATCAAACTACTGGCATTTCAGAACAAAAGATATTCCTAGAAGTAATTTTCCTGCATCTAGTTGGCTGTCATTCTCAAGGAAAGTTGCAGTTACTTATGTTTCCGTGGGAGTGCTAATAAGGCTCTATATAAATAAATATACGCGAGGTTTGATATAATGCTTGGGTCAGGCTATGCAACAGCCAGCAGAGAGGAATAAGTAGTATTCAGGATTTGTCATACCGAATAAAGCAAATTTTGTCCTAGTATTTCCTGATGTGGGAAGTCCCTACACTGATAAAGCATCTACCAGAATTGCCAGAAAACTCATATACTCAATATTAACTCACTACAGTACCGAGTTAATGGGCTAATGGATTGTTCTGCTAAATTTATTCAGCAGAGTTGGGAGAGATCTTGGAGGTGTTCTTGTCCAGCCCCCTGCTCTGGGAGGAACCCTATACCATTTCAGACAAATGTTTGTCCAATCTCTTCTTAAAAACCTCCAGTGTTGGAGGATTCAAAACTTAGGGAGGCAAGTTACCCACTTATTAATTGTTCTGTCAGGAAATTTCTCCTTGATCTAGATCATTTCTCTTCTTGATTAGTTTCAATCCATTGCTTCTTGTCCTGCCCTCAGGTGCTTTGGAGAATAGTTTGACTCCTTTGTGACAACCCCTCATAATTCATTAGGCATAAACATGAATATGCATAAATTAGCCTCTTAGTAGTTAACATGCTGTGTTGCAATGAATATATATTTGCATCATGATCAACTTAAAGATTGCATTTCTCCTTAAGACACCTGAGTTAAGACAGAAGTATCCTAAGCTACACATTAGATTGGATACCTAAACTGTCAGGTTTAGGAATGTCTTATTTTTGAAAGTAAAAGTATATTGAGGACAGCGTTATAATCCTATTTGTATTATAAATTAATTTATGAGAAAAGTCTCCATATTGACAAGGCATTCAGTCTAAAATACATTGCAGAATTTGTTACCTCGTAATACGCTATTCTGCGTATCTGGTGGAACAGATTTTAAGTTGCAGTACTATATTATAAGTAGATACTGTTGTGAGTTTGTGTCATGATGCTCTATTGGATATAGGGAGAGAAAAAACCTTTATTCACCTTTGCACATTTCATAATTCACACTTACGTTGAACATTATTTGATTTCCAAATCAACATACACTATCCATAAGCAAAACAGCACAAGTCATTGATGCAGAATCAAATCCACCACAGTAATAAATTCAATAAAACCACTAATGACTGTATGTTGTTTGAGGCTGAAGTCTAGATCAAATTCTCAATTTTTTAAACTTGTATAGGATGTTGGAATAACAAATATGTTGTATAACACTGGCCTATTGATCTTGTTAGAATTTTCTATAATCTGCTCTTTATAACAGTTTGGTAAGTGAATTTAAGTACAGTATAATTTTTTTTCTAAAGCAGTTTTTTAATCCCTTGATGTTTCATTCTTCCCATCCACTGTTCACATTGTGAAGTTATTAGGTTAGTTAGGTGATTAAAAAAAAGATTTGATTTCCATTACTGTATTTTGTTTTCAAAGTATGATATTTTGGTAGCAGAGACCTGAGATTTTTGAGGTGGTAGAGTTTATTCCTTATTCTGCTATATATGTAAACCAAGCCATCTCTGTGTCATTTTATTAACATGTAAGCCAAATGAAACACACTCCTAATGTGGTTCAAATAATATTTTTATTTATGGATGTGTGCAAATTTTGAAGATTTGAGCCACCTAGCACAATGTAATCATTTTAATACCTTTGTATATCTAGAGCTTGTTAAATATTTTCTATTTTTTATTTTCGATTAGTATAATGGGTGGGGAGGGTGTTTCCTTCTTGATGCCTTCAAGGCTAGAGGAAGGGACAGAGGGTTTTGCACTTAAGGCAGACGTTAACGTTCGAGAAAACCTCAACTCCAATCAATAACTCAGACAGACGTGTTCTCAAAGTTTCCTTTTATTAAAGTAGTAAACTGGCACATCTGGGAAATCCTGAATCTGAAAGTTCCAGGTTTCCCTCCAATAAGTAAAAAATTACAGATCCACCCCCTGCACCCCTCATTGCATCACATGCCCCAATCACCATCCATCCCAACTTAAGACATCCCCTCAACCATTCCTCAGCCAGATGCAGAAAGAACATGACCTTGACTTTAAAGAAGAATGCTATTATGTCTAACCACATATGCTCCACGAAATTCCCCCCTCCCATTTTTCCAGGCTCAAGAATGTGGCAGTGTGGAAGCTTCTGGTGATAATATGGCTTCCAAAGCTGAGAGAAGGACTAACAGTCTCCTGTTCCCACTATAACTGTCTCTCTGTGTAATAATTAACAAATTGTCGTTCTCCAATCCTTTTTATAAAAGTATTAAATTAATATAGATTCACTACCCTGTTTCTTCAACAATATGGCCTCCCCCAATAAGAAGTCCCAGCATGTTTTATAGGCATGAAATGAAATTAAGCCCCTCCCCCCAAATTAAGGCCTATATTAAAACATGTGAAATGGGGGGAATGGTGGGGGGGCTTGCTGTTAGGAAGTACTTTTGTTGCACACCCAGACATGGTCCTGCGTTGACCCCGATATGAAGTGCCCCACCAATGCCGAGGTCAACATCCAAGCCATCACTGCCTGCCCGCCCGAAGATGCAAGGGGGGAGGAATTAAGTCACCCCCGAAAAGACGGCCTAGCCATTTTTTCGAGGCTCAAAAAAAGATAAGACCCGGCCTTATTATATGAGAAACACGGTAGTTTTAGCTCTGGAATTTTGAATTCAACAATGATTGTTTATAAATGTTAAGTTTACTTTAGGATTAAAATAGTAACCATCTTACCTGTCATTCGGGTAATACAAATATAATTCAATATGTAGTTAAATGATTTTGTCCTCTGCTCCGCTTCTTTACTATGCCAAAAGTATGTGTGTGTGTGTTTGTGTATTTGCCTTTGTCAAAACATTTTGTAATGCATATTCATACCTGGAAAAGAATACTTATGCAAAATTTGCCTCTGCCTCTCCTTTTTTCTTCCAACCTCTTCAACTCCTTGTTAATCCATTTTCAAATTCCATGGAGTTACATTCAATTTACTAATCATTCTGTATGTCTCCCTTTCCCACTTCCCAGTTCTGTTAAGTGTTCCACTTTAACATTCTCTATTGGATTCTTGGGCTTGTGATTAAAATCTTTGCATTCATATCACACCCAAGGATTCTGAAGACTTTTATTTATAATCAATGCATTCAGGCATTCCATCAATAATCTGTTTCCAAGGGGCAGATAATTAAATGGGATGGGGAAATTAAACTTTTTGTTCAGCTTTTATTCTATTTAGTTAGTCCACTAACTCAATCTTACAGAAAAAGGATCATTTATTGGTCAGTAACTCTAGTTAAGATGCTGAGCTTGTCGATCAGAAAAGTCGGCAGTTCGGCAGTTTGAATCCCTAGCACCGCGTAACGGAGTGAGCTCCCATTACTTGTCCCAGCTTCTGCTAACTTAGCAGTTCAAAAGCATGTAAAAATACAAGTAGAACCATTTTGGTGTAGAGGTAACAATATTCTGTGCACCTTCAGCATTTAGTCATGCCGACCACTTGACCACAGAGACGTCTTCGGACAACACTGGCTGTTCGGCTTTGTAATAGAGATGAGCACCGCCCCCTACAGCCAGAAATGACTAGCACATATGTGCGAGGGGAACCATTATCTTTTAAAGATACAATTAATTCATTGGAAGGTTATGAAATGCTTTCTAGGTAAGTTAATGCAACATATTACTATAATATTAATCAGAATAGTAAAAATGCATACAATATAGTACCTGTTTGGATGTACATTAAGCCCTAAGACCATAGGCTTAGATAATGACATGATGTGGCCATCTAGAAAAAAAATGATATGCCATGATTTTACCATGAAATATAAATTGAGCCATTTATTCTATAGTAGTAATTCAAAGGTGAATCTGAATACAATTTTCATTTGTTTTTCTATGGGATGAAATAATACCATTTTCAGTATGTGTGTGGGCTATCTTGATCAAGTGAATTTGGAAGAACCTATTAACTATCTAAATTGTGATCATCTATACGATTTGGAATTCAATAGTGGAAGCATCTAAAGACTGCAATCCTGCATACTGTAATCTTGATAAATTGTCTTGGACTGAATTTCAGTTTTAACTTACTTTCCATTGGGACCCTCTTATGTAAATCTCATAGTAATGAGTGAGAACATAGAAAAGGCTTTAATAACCATTAAAAGTTGGCAGTTAACATGCAATCTATTTTAAACTCTCAGTATATATTAGGTCTTTATGCTCTCATTATTTAAAAGAAATAATCTGGTC